ACCGGTTGTCGTTATAGTTCCGGTCAAAGTTTTTGGTGCAACTCAACCTTAGTATCTATCCAAGTACTAACAACTCGCAAGAAGCTAGTTAAAATTAGTCTTCTCACATTAGATACGTAAGAGATTCTGAGTAGAATCTACCCACAAAAACTAAGCTAATCTTATGGTCACGCAAGGCATCGTGCCAAACAGTGAACATGTTCTGTGGGTATACTCTGCTAAAGTATTTCGATATAGACTCTGTCCTCTTCTCTCACATATTAACAGCTATTTTTTTAACAATAAGGACATACCTTACTTAATTATAGGGTTGTGAGCTTGGATAGGGAAGATTGACGAAAAAACTGCCAGTTTGTTTTTTAAAGAACAAAGGCTATAATTTGTTAAGCCTCTTTGAATCGATATGCAGATGAAAGTCGGTCGCGGTGTGCGGCCGTTAAAAGTAATTTATTACTATGTGAAAAAAAATGCAAATAACACCTCAACCCTCTAACCATAAAGTAATAGAGATATGGAGAGTAAGGCTGGGTTGTACCATCTTACTTTAACTTTGACAAACGTCAAAAATCTGTCAAAATCCATACAAAAAGCACCGGTTATTGTCAAAGTTACGGTCAAAGTTGGGTGGTGCAACCCACCCTTAGTATTTAAAAAATCTATACAGGGTGGAAAAGATAAGTGTTCTCATTCGATTATTTCTAAATTAAACAAGATAATATCAAAAAACCAGTTACTGATCCTTCAGAAAGTGTTTCATGAGATCTATTAACCTTTTATTGATGTCAATAAAAGGCTACAGAATAAACTGGATATATCCATAAAATACAGGGTCTATTTGAAAGACCAGACCATTCTGATAGTGTCTTCATTATTTTCCAGGCATATACGCTAGTATGTAAGTGTCTAAGGACTAAAGTCGATTAAACGTTTTCCAGAATAGAACCTCTGGCTTACCTGTGGTAAAGCTCTGAGCGGCTGTCTACAAGGGCACCGCAACTTTGCTTACTTCGACCGCCAAGCGGCATTAGTCGGATAAAGGGTTAAGCGGGGCACAATCATGCCGCTTACTCGTGGTTACTAACTAACGGTTAACATGGTCACGGTAATAATATCATACAGTATTATAACTTCATATAAACCGACGAAACGCGAGCTTTCTTTCGAATTTCAAATCTCGGGACGCGGTCGAAATCCAAAAGTTAGGGTTAGGGGTGTCACGAATGTGCCGAACGGACGTCGATGGCCTAGCTAGTGTTGAAAATGACTAAGGTGATTGAATTTGACTACCGTCATTTACGGTCAAATTTGTCAAAAACAAGTTCTTAACAGTCAAAAATGGTCATTTTCAGTCAGTTTGATTTGAAATAAAAATTATATTGTATTAAACCAACTTTTGCCCACGACTTCATCCGCCTGAAATTAAAGTAACAGGTCATTAAGTACTCATTATGATTAGTAGATTCAAAATTATTTCAGTATACTTTTTTAAATTTTAAATCTACTAACACAAAACAACACGCATTTTATCCTATTCCATTCACAAAGTATTTTGTTTGTCTAAATAAAAAAAAATTACAATCACAAAACTAGATAGAAATTCTAAGTAGACAGATGTAATTAGAATGGGTTCTGTAGGTGGGCAGCCCTATCGTATGTTGTCATACCGTGACGTACCGCGGGGCTGTTGACATTTATTTCAAAAATATGGCCGAGTTGGAATACTGTATAGATAGTATTACCGTGACATGGTGCATATAGGCAGTTAAAGTTCTGGTAGACGGCTGTTATTGGCGATCAACTTTGAACTTTGCAACCTTGAAATAAAACTTATGCATTTCAGGTATGCAGTGTGTTTCAGTCTGTGGCGTATTTTCAGAGGTGAAGGTGAATTTAATTACGAAAGTGTTTCGTGTTGGAAAGTACACGTGTATAAGTAGAATTTGTAGGTTACATACACTCTAGAAAGTCGAAAAACTTAGCAAGACGTGCTGCAGTGGCACCTTAATTAGACTCTCGAAGATTCGAACTCCTGTTAATAATAGCATTGTTGTGTTCCGGCAATTAGAGGTGAGATAGCCAGTTCCTCCGTGGTTTAGGATTCCGGGAGTAGCTCGCTTCCACCATCGGCCTGATCATCACTTACCATCAGGTGAGATACAGGTCAAGGAGCTTCCTTGTTGTAGATAATAAAAAGAACTCCTATGTTCTTCTGATTAATTTCGTTGCGGGTCTAAGGACAGTTTAATTTTCTCCGGGACAAACTTGACCTTCACTGGCTGGGTTTTTATTGGCGGTCAAGCTGGTCCTGGCTACACAGCCCACCTAGATTAGAAATAGAAATATTATTAGAACAGTCTAAATATTAAAATTCAACCAACCAAATGCTTGAGAGCACCTCTCCGAGTTTTAAAGTTTGATCAAATCATTACCATTATAATAAAACAAGCATCCTCAAAGATACCACTCGAACTAAAATCTTGAGAGTTGAGACAAAAGAAAAGCTCTAAAATTAAATAAATGAATATCTCTGAATAAATTGAGACAACTGAAGACTTCATAATGAAACGGCTGAAATATTCCCCCGTTTTATTTCTTCAAGTGTCCTTGAGGGACCGTTAACACTCTTGCCCAGTTTATATCCGTCTCCAGGCGGCAAGTGTTAAAAAAGATCTTAATCTGATGCTTAGATTTAATTGAGACATAGTAAAGGAAATAAAGGATTTATCTGGAATGATTTACTCGCAATATTATTACGGTATATCCGATATCCAGCAACAGGCTGGAGTGAACTGGATGCGTGTGGCCAGGGACAGTCGGTGGAGGGTTGAAGAGGAGGCCTATGTTCGAAGGCGAACCCAAAGGCTGCTATAGATATAGATAGATAGATTATTATGGTAACCTACTCACGTAGGTAAATGTCGTCTGCACATTTTTTTAATATTGTCTCTCATCCTTAAAAACCAAGGCTAGTTTCTGCCCGAGGCTTCACCCGTGTGAAAATAATAAGTGAAAATTTGACAGGATCTTAAAATGTTTGAATTTTAATATTTTAGAAATACCTACATAAAAATATTTTTTGAGATACCTTAAAATAAAAGACAATATGATGTGCATACATTTTTATTAAAAAATCTTACGTTTATCACAATAATGTACATTTAAATATTTTTACTTCACAATAATTACGCTAAATAACAGTAAACTAAAGCACCGATATGTTTATAATAATTTAATAGATCGTGTTAAAATTACTTTTAACAAAACAAGATAAATATACAAATTGATTTTAAATTTTAAATTAATACGAATTATACAAATACACTGTAATAAATAATTAATAGAGAACTTAACCCTTAAACACACCTAGCAATTTAAATGTTGTTAAAAAATAATTTGTATGAACTGATTGATGTTTTGTTTTTTAAAATATTTTTTTAAATAACATAATAAGTATTGATTAGATATTTATAATCTTGTTAACAATAAGAATTTATATTTTGAGGGTTGAAACCAATTGAGTTTAAAACCCTTTCATTTATTAGCTTTACAAGAAACTCAACGAATTTTCTGAACGTTTATCTTTAAGTCTGGATAGTAACTAAATTGCAGAAAAAAAAATGATGTTTTTTTTTATTAACTTGGACATTTATTATGTATTCACTTTAATAGATAAAATACTTATTACGTTTTTTTATATTAAATAATCTATAAAACTTTAATATTTATTGCATAACAGTGTTTGTAAATAAATTTCTTAATTTATAATTATTTACAAATCTAAGAATATTTCTACATACGTTATAAGTGGATATTTTTAAGTTCATAGATCTGTTTGTCTATTTTAACGAAAGCGTAAACAATAATTCAAACTGTGATGAAAAATTTAATTATTTAATGATTTCTTTAAGTTTACGCTTACGTCAAATTAGTCAATCAAAAGTTATATTTCCATGAAGAACAGACAAACTGAATGATACAATGGTGCGTAATATAGAAAAATGGTCAAGTGTGATTATTTTTACTAGTTTATTATTTACAATGTACCCTATCAGATAACATGAAAGCTATGAAAAAATTAAAAACGGGGTGAGCCTTATATTCACTAGGACTAATGTTACGCATCACGAAAGTCCGTAGACAGGTCAGACGATGTTTTACAACGTTGCCAAAAGTATCAATGCGTTAGGTTTCCATAGACGATGATTTTTTTTACAAACGTTCGTAAACATCAACAATAATTATAGTCGCCAATGCTGCACAACATTTTTACTGGTGAATACAAGGCATCATTCTAACATTTTTTTTACTAATTAGTTATTATTTTGAACTATGTACCTATAGAAAACAAATGAAGATCTTGATCACAGTAATAATAACTTAATTCACAAAGCGTTGAAGATTATTTTTTGATATGTCACTTCTGTGTAATATATTCAAGATATGCGTCGAGTACTATGTTTTCTATATAGATATGTTATGTACAAACATAATGTACAATTTATGTACACTGGTCCTTTCACCAAACATTCCTTGGACGGTACTTACATGTTCAAAATAATGTAATACAACTTTCTTTAATTTACAATAATTTCATGAGACAAGTATTTTATTTTTACTTCAATTAAACAATTATTTGATAAAGCAAAAAATATGTTTTAATAATTTTAAAATGCTACTTAATTAATTGACGTTATCCACAAAAATGTTAAAGGAAAATAAAATTAAGCAAATAAATTACTCCTTGGACGATGCACAGCAGACAAAATGGACAGAAATATTAATAAAGCTTAATTTATTCTCTGACACTTGTTAATTGCGTCTCGTTAACAAAATCCAAATTAATTAATGTCTCGTCTTTCAAAGAAAAAAGTTGCAAGACAAATTACGATTATTAAGATTTGACAAAACCTTTAACAAATGTTATTGTGAAACGAACATAAACACGATACTTTTTTTTTAATCCGCAAAAGTATTATCTGCTTTGCATACAGTTGCGCTATTGCTTTTAAAAATTTATTGGGTTCAAAATCAATTGAAAATTAAATTGTTAAGCAGTTATGAGTCTCCTAGAAAGTTGTGATTATGCTTTAAGACAGAAAGAACTCTATATTTTTAATATTCTTGCCGTAGCAACATTTAAAGTGAGACAGCAAATCTTAGTCTGTACAAAAAAATTCTTTTTTCCGAAATAAAAAACCGTCACTGCTTGAAACACCCTATATTGCTTTGATCCCATCTGTCCATGACTGTCTCCTAGATAGGTCACCTTACGTCACAATGGATGCCGAACAATAACACCATGGATGCGAGGAGCAGGCTGCAGTAGCTGGTGGTGGTCTTGACACCACTCTGGAGTTCGGCCAAGCTTGAACCTGTGGACAAGGATTGATTTAAGTCTTTTCCATGGTTACAAAAATGTTTTTTTACTCGCTTCAACGCTTGTTACTGCTTTATATTAACTATTTGTTGACAGTAATGAACGTGCGGTCAACAGCTCTCAAAGTACTACTGAATCACCCCCAAAGCATTTTGAATTTAGATTTGGAAAAAAATAGCACGCTGAATGCCGCGGATTCTATATTATCTTTTTAAGTCCTCGATGAATAGTGACAAATCAATTGTTTTAACAAACCCTTTTGAGGTTTATCTGAATTCTCATTCAGCATCGCATCAATTCCAATTCATCAGATGCCATATTGTTTTTAAAAGCCAAAAAGATTTTAACAGACCCTTTCCACTTAATTTACAAAAAAATCTGCTCTTTTTTTCTAATTTTTTATTTAATACAATTAAGGGTTAATTCATTAAAGAGTTTTATTTAACTTTAAAAGTAACACAAACGCCCACATTACCCTAGCTAAACAGTTTTTTTGTTAATTCAACTAAGGGTTAATAAAGAGTTTTATTTAACTTTGAAAAGTAACACACGCCCACATTACCCTAGCTAAACAGATAAACATTTTAACAAAACCGCTATAATTTAGCCGGGCTGGTGTAAACTCTAAGTGCTCCTCAAAGGTAATTTGCGGAGTTGGCGTTGGTAGGGCTTTGTTAGAGCAGTTTGCCGATAGCAAGGCGACTGGCGGGTAACCTGAAACTAAGGGTCAGGATACAACGGCGATTTTGGGAATACTCTTCTATTTTGTTTTAACATTTTTTTTTATTATTCTTATTCCATTTACATCGATAACCAAGAGTGAACGTTGGGGACAGAATAACCATTGCAGTTGAAGGAAGTTTATAGGCCAAAAAATTCATAATTATGTAGAATGTAAGTCAAGTGTTCATGCTTTCAGGGTATGGCGCTCACTTTCCTTAGTTAAAAATCCTTTCAATGTAACTGACAATGAATGTTCTTAGTCATTATGGCATTGTTTTTGATTCAGGTCCTGTTTGAGTCACTTCTTACATTCTTTCACGGCACCATAAGACTAAAAATTATTATGAACTTTACAAATGTACAGTTGATAGTGCATAAAACTATATTTTTTTATTGTCAAATCGTATAGCTATTTATCTACACCTTAATATGACATAATTTGTATTTAAACTAAACTAGCTAGCGCCTTATAGCCTATAGTGGGGATGAGTCTGAAAAGTCAACCGTTGTTGTGTTTGTGGAGAGAAGATATAGGTACAGCTTTGTCGCGGCGTCTTTCTTCGTAAATGCGATTAAATTGCAAACAAACATAATGATATTAAAAGCAAGTGTACTTTGGCCCTAAGAACTGTCCTGAGACAGTAAAATCTTATACCAAGTGAAGCGGCACTTGAGGTTTATTACAGAGCTAAATAAGGTGTCCTAAGTGGTTAAGTTTCTAATGAATTTATTTTCCTGCTTGAAAAGCTGAAAAATTAATGTCACTTTTCCTTACAAATTGGCGCACTAATACAAAAAAATAATCAAAATTTTAATACCTCAAAGATGGCGATGATTTTTCCCTCATACCCTTTTAGAAGTTCAGTTTTTTAATCTCTTTAGTTTGTTGATTTTATTGACTAAACATTAAAATCTGAAGAGATATATACTTATTTTGCTAGCTTTGTTTTTTTATGCAAAATATCAAGAAGAATTTAAAAATGACATAAATTAAAAAATTAAACGGACTTGACACTACTCGTATCAGTGGAAGGAATTACTGTAGGACAAGTCTATTTATATGTGGAGAGATTTACGCCCGTATTCACAAACGATGCTTGTTTAAGTGAAGCAGCAAATTGAACGCACAGCGTTGAATAGATATCTGTGATTGGTTCGTGTGTCACCTTGTGCGTCTACGCGCACTGTGAGATTAGATAGTAGATTACTATTGAGGTCTCACAGTGCGCGTGGACACACCTCTAATTCTCTAATATTAATATAGGTAATTATTAATATTAGAGAATTAGAGGTCGTGCGTTAGAATGTCATTAAAGAAGAAGGATGACAGTAATAATGTCATTATTACTGATAGAACAATCGATTCAGCCCAACCTTTCTCACTCAATTACTATGTATCGATTCAGTACATCAAAGGATAACCGATAGTTGCGTAAGAATACTTTAAAAGCACTTCCTCTTTGATGAAACCTCCTCCTGTAACGTTAATCTCCTTGAAAATAATTTCTTTGATCTCCCGCGTAACAATGGAGGCGTGACACTGCTCAGTCACGGTAAAAGCATACTTAAATGCAAGTAGCAGAAGGCTCAATTTTGCTTTTCAGATATTTGAGTAGGCCTACGTGACGCAGTAAAAAAAATTCTGCAGTAAAACTTACGCCCGCATTCACAAATATTACTATGAGGTCTCACCGAGCGCGTGGACGCACAGGGTAACACATGAACCAATCACAGAGCTCTATTCAACGTTGTGCGTCCTATTTGTATCATTTGTGAATACGGGTGATATTGTCTTAAAAATAAATTTTGAAAATTAATACACTTTTGTGACACTAAAATATTATTAATTAACATTAAATAATTATTTTTCTATTTATAATTTATGTATTATGTATAATTATTGTTAACTCGAATAGCATTGTATGTTGTGTGCACTTGTTATTGGAGCTGCAACAAGTTTTACTGTATAGCCTGCTTTAAAAGCTTTGTATGTTATGGTTGTATCCCTGTTTTGTGCACCAAATAAAATAAATAAAATAAAATTAAAAACAATATGAATCGTAAAAAGGAAGCAATAAATCATACGCATCGCTGCACTGAATCACGTATTCCACAATTTATCCCTTCTCGTGAACTATGCTTTTCTTTATGAGGGAGCCCATTATTTTTTTCAGCTCTGAGTGAGAATTTACATGGTTTTGTAGAGCAATTCCATAGGTAGTAGCCTCGTCTTGTAAATGTAAGGACGTAGCACACTTAACAACCCGGAAAGGGATCGTAAGCGTATCGACTCGAGGTGCTGTATTATTTGTAAGAAACTCCATACTGCAATCCGCACCGTAACGTAAACGCCTCGCATCGCGGTTGACAGCTCGCAAAAGGCGATACGGTGTTGATCCCTTTCCTTCCCTCTTTCCGAGTTGATAGGTAAGTGTGCTATGTAACCACAAATCACAGTCTCATGCTACAAGTTATGACCTTAACTTGTAGCATGAGACTGTGATTTGTGTATAAGGTTGCGTACAGTGATAGAAAAAGAATTACTGTGGATGAATGATGAACGATGAAGGCCGTTAATGATAATGATAAAAATAATAATAATGAGCATAAAATTGAGTTAGGCTTACTCAATTCACTTATACTGTGCCCTGTAAACAGTTTTCGAAGTTGGAAAGTTTCTTGTGTCGATAAAATCCTCTCGTTTGATATTCTGTCAAGGCAAGTGCGTCTTTATTTTCATGAAAAACTAGGTATTCACTCAGACTTGTTCGCAGAAAAATATAACGGGTGTCGGAAACAAAGTTGGATTCTATGAAACGTAAATTTTGCTTCAGTAATTCAAACAAAAGTTTCACGCAAAATGAACACGTTTCTGAAGTTTCACGTGTATTCGAAACAACTAGTGTAACGTATTTGTCCTGGAAATTTGTTGGGGTTTTGCTAACAGAAGTTGGGCCTAGCTCTAGGATTTTGTGAATTATTTGTACCGTAAACGCTTGTGACAATCTTTGGTTTAGTCTGTTTGCAATTCTAGCATTCAACAAGTAACTTTCATGATCCTACTAATCCTACTAAAATTATAATGCGAAAGTTTGGATGTCTGGATGGATGTATGTTTGTTTAAAACAGCTAAAAGAGTTTTACTAAGATAATTTTGTCGTGCGATTAGAATGCATAGTTTTGTCATGAGATCATTTGCCAAATAGGACGCCGAAGACCTTTTTTAATATTAAATTAACAGTAATGGGGATGTTTATTTTATAAAATACTTAAATAATTATAAAATAATGGGGCTGCTTTACTAACCTTGTAAGACGTGCACTCTCGCGACAGCCCTCATCTGAAGCGGGGCTTCCAGCGCGCACGTGTAATTCCCCGCGTCCTCCACCTTCAGTCGGGCCACCTGCGTTCAAAATAGCAAATTGTAGTGTATTTTTAACCGACTTAAAAAAGGAGGTTCTCAATTCGACTGTAGTATGTTTTTTTTTCTGGGACTAAGCTCATAATATTTTTCTTCACCCTGGTTACGTCTAAGCGAAAGTTTTCTTTGTAAACAATGGCAAATAACCACACTGTCATACCCTAACAATTTTGGTCGTATAGCGAGTGAACTAGTAAGTAAATTTATCCGCTGTATTTAAGTGATTTTTCGTTTGGCATTTCCCGCCAAACGAAGGGTGGTGGACGCGAACAGGCGACTTCACCCTTGTAAACAAAAAATTCAATAAAATATCTAATGGGAAAGAGAACACAATAATTTTTATTCATCTTGAAACCGTGGTTTACGTTGTAGCCTCATAAACTAAAAGATTCTGTTATTTTTCAATTTGTAATTTTGGTATAGTGCTATATTCTCAAAAATTTATTGTGTGATGTCCTGTGTAGGTTTGTAATTTCTAGATCGTCCACTTTCCGTGGCCACCTTTGTTCAGCATTAGCTAGATTAGAGTTAAGAAAAATGCCAAGCTTTGGTAAGACGGAAGATTCCTTGAAAATTGTACAGCTCTCGTGGTTCTTAGTGAGATGGATATCTCAGAAAATGGTAGGAATTTAGAAAATTACAAAAATAAAGAGAAACTAAAGTAGAGTACAGTCGTGTAAAACTTTAAAAACTGTTACATTTACTATAGATCATTTTATAATTACTTCATAGAAATTTAGAACAAAATTATAATGTTCATAATTAAAAATGATAGACAATGATTTGTTTTGATATAAAAGCCAAAGTTTGTTGAATAATTAGAATTTGAATACGAGTGAATCAGAATCAGTTATGATTGTTTAACTACGTCATACTCATAGATTTCCAATACATATTATGCCAAAATCATCATCATCATGATTTTCAGTAGGACGTCCACTACTGAACATAGGCCTCCCCAAATTATTTCCATAATGGCCGGCTATATGCCAAAATGACTATTTATAATTATAACTGTAGGGTTTTCGATTATCAAAGTAACAAGCAAATAATTTCATCCTACCCAAAAATTAACACGTTACACCTCCAAAACAAAAGAATTGTTTATGCCCATAACCACTCAGAAAGTGGGGGGAATATTTAAGTCGCCACTTACACTTTCAGCAAATATATTACCGCAATTTGGACCAACGCAGGTAAAATTACAAGGTCTTAGGGTGTTTGGGGCGGGGCTTGGCTGCCAGCGGGTTATTAGCCAGGTCGTAATAGCACCCGAGGAATAAGTGGTTAGACAACGCAATCGGAACGGCCTTGAGGAAATAATTGAGCAGCTAAGGGGTTAATTCTAAGAAAAAATAGTGAAAATGTTGGAAAACAAGCTTTGTTTTACTGCTGAATCAAACTAGGTAATTTCTCTATTCATTACCAAGTACATAAATTAACAAAAACATGATCGAAACACAATAGAAATCAATGATTACGCGGTCTTATGCGACCGCTTAGAATTTGATGGTTTAAATATGTAATTGTACATGGTTTTATCGTATGGTCTGTCTTTAACTGAATTGATTAGTGATTAGTTGATTTAATATAGTTTGGACTAAGGCTGGGTTGCACACTGTTACTGACTTTAACAAACGTCAAAAATCTGTCAAATCACAAAAACACCGGTTATCGTAATAGTTACGGTCAAAGGTGGTGCAACTAAGCCTTATCACCAGCTGCACACTGGATTTACACAGATCATAATTAAATAAAAACTATCCAAAAGTTTCCGCTAGCATTCAAAATCCACCCCACTACAGTTAACCTATCGCACGGTAAATATCAACGCTTTGTTATCTCTCGCGTTTATGAAGCCCCGGACATAATTGTGCTGCCTTCTGGACACGGTTAATTCCCCCATACTCATTTCACCTCCTACCGTCATTTTTGGACGTAAGAGCCAAAGCACACGATGCGTTGCGGCGGCGCGTTGCGATGCCGGAGCGGTGTCGCTGCGTCGACAGGACGTCGCACATTTATCAATCCGGAAAGGGATCGTATGGTAGGGTAAAAAGATTATGAGACATGTAGAGGCCCTTAAGAGCAAAATAGACGATTTGAAAGTACTAATAGTCTAAACAAATAAAGAAATTTTGACATTGACTTTGACTGTAACCGTATCAACTCGAGGCGGTCAAATTATTTGTATGAAACTCTATAGTACAACGCACACTTATCCGCACGGAAACGTAAACGCCTCACCTCGCGATTGAACGCGCGCAAAAGGCGATGACAGCTCGCGAAAGGCAATACGGTGTTGATCCGTTTCCGAGTTGATAAGTCTGCTATGAGCTTTACATAGAAATATCTGTGGCGGGCACATGAGCGGTGTGGCACCGCGCGATACGGCGAAACCTTTGGGATGCGGCGCTGCAACGCATCGTGTGCGTCGGCTCATAAGCATTTATATCGCTTTATTGTATTGCGTTTGACTACCGTGAACAGTTGATTTATTTCGTTTTGTTTATTTGCATACAATAAAGGCTTTTATGATGTGTATAAAATTCGGACTTTGTAATTTTTTTGGTTTAATGTTTCTGTATTTGGGTTTATGGCAACAAAATAAAGAATTATGCTTCAGTCAAATGATTTTCACATTTATTAAATTTTAGCTACATTTTTCTTTTAAATTTATTTTTTTGTTTCGATTTGCACAATAAAATAAAATCTTTTGAAATGATTAAAGAGTCTCAGCATCATCTGTTATATCCCAAAGGGGTGGTAAGACATACTTTATGAGTGTTTATAATTTTAAAAAGTTATGGAAAGTGTATAAGTCCCTTAAAAAGGGTTTACACACTATAAAAAAATCAAATTATTTACCTGCAAATGACTTGTCAGCGTCAACTGGTCAGTTTCAACCAGCACGCCTCCTCTAACATCTTCCAACGGAGTGGTGGTGTTTCCTTTATACCACCTCATCTCAGGTTCCACTTGGCCAGGGTGCAGGTTCAAAACCGCGCACTTAAGTGACAACGTCTCTCCGCTTTCCAGGAAAGCCTCCTTGCTCATTCTTATTTCAGGTGCTGTAAACATAAAAAGAGAGACAACTCATAAATGCCCATACTATTGTAGCATTTTTTAAAAATACTGGTCAGGTATACAGAGTGAAAACGATAAGACGTGATCTCACTCGATTATTCAAACTAATGTATTTACTATCTATTGCAATTGGAATGATGACTGATCATCATCATAAATTACTCAGGTAATGAAATCGAAATTCTATTTAGTCCGTCAGACAGATAATAAAAAAATATTGGCACGTTTATTTTATTTTTTTTCATAATCGAATCATTATAGTATTATATTGAGTTGAAATTTCGCGTGACGTCACTTTTGAGTAAAAAATCTACTCAAAAGTGACATCACGCGACATTTCAACTCGATGTAGCACTGTTATTATTTATTTATGAAAGAAAATAAAAAAACGAGTCTAATATTTTCTAATTATCTGTCTGACGGACAAATCATTGAATTTTTTTCATCTAGCCTATTATTATTAAGTATCTCTAGTTCCACTTGGTCAGGGTGCAGGTTCACAAACCGCGATTGTGAAACCGTTCACCAACAATCATTTGATCAACGAACTACTCACCAACAGGATCTTTAATCCATTAACTTTTTGCCGAAAGATCACTTTTACCCATGAAGCGTTCGCCAAGAGAACGGCACGCCAATGAACGTTTTGACCAACAAAATCTTTTGACCTCTTACTTTTCGCCCAAATGACATTTGACCCATGAAATGTTCGCCAGTAAATGTAATGGAATATAACTATTAACATTTTACATAAAAAAAATTGGCCAATCATGACCTACTCGTATTAAAAGTTGGTAAGAAACTCCCATAATAATTAAACAATCTGGATGTTTTAAATATTTTATGTCCTATTAAATTGATTTCTAACATTTATAGTCTTCTTTTCTTCTTCTTCTTTTCTTTGGCAATGACTTAAGTGACAACGTCTCGGAGAGACTCTTCTCTACATGAAAGCCTCTTTGCTGATTCTTATTTCCGGTGCTGCGAACATGCAATGCATTTAGAAATGTACTTTTAAAAGGCTTTAGCAGTTTCGTTGTTGAGTATTTGAGTGGCTTGCTACATTTAGTTTGACGTGAAGTTTTGTTGTTGTGGTTAGTTTAGAAAACTTTAAGAATATTATTAGCAACTAAGTAGGCCCACATATTATTAATTTTTAAATACGTATTTTGTAGGTACTTATATAAAAAATAGGAGATAATTAATAAATAATTAAACCTTGCCTTACGACTAATTCAGTACGCAAGAATATATGCAAACTTGTGATTAAAGATTTTTTTTGTTGTGTTTGATTACAAACGCAGCACCAAAAGTTTACACATTAAACTCTTGAATCTATTTTTCAGTACCTAGAGTTTTTATTACTAAAATCAAAATAATAGTAATGTAAAGTGATATAACAATAATGTAATACTTGTTATAAACTCACAATGGACGATAAGTTTAAACCTCTTCAGCATGGGCGGGTGTGTGGAAACGTGACAGCAGTATATTCCCGAGTCGTGGACCTTGGCGTCTGACAACGATAGCTTCCAGGTTTCACCCGCTATGTCCACTCTGTACCTATGGAAAGGTGACATTTTAATACTAGTTTTTACTATAATCATCATGACATTTTTAATCTCTACTACAGGATCACGACCCTCTCTAATTTCCCATAGAGGATTTGACCTTACAGTCCCCACGCTGGTCAGACGGGTTGGGGAGACACTACGCAAATACTAAAGGACATAGCACACTTATCAACCTGGAAAGGGGTCGTAATCGTATAAACTCGAAAACTTCGTATGAAATTCCATAAAACGCACACGTCTTATCCGCACCGTAACGTAAACGCCTCGCCACGCGGTTGACAGCGCGAAAGGCGAAGACAGCTCGCGAAATGGAATACGGTGTTGATCCCTTTCCGAGTTGATCTGTCTGCTATGACGTTTAGTCTCCATTACAGGAGCAGAACTCCCTTCACCACAGGTAAATGGAGGATTTGGCTTATACTCCCCATGTTGGCCAGACGGGTTGGGGAGGCACTACGAAAATAATCGTTCGTAATCGTAAGTCTCTCCAACCCGTCTGACTAGTGTGAGGAGTATAAGCTACATTCTACATTCTACATCAAGAGTTGTGCTCTTGCAATGACTAAATGACCTGATGATGATGATGACGATAATGAAAGGGAAATAGTCTGAATGATATAGTGCTCAGTGTTTAGTTTTCTGCCTTAAATTGTTGTTTTGTGAAATGATAAAAATTTATGTGCGCAAAAACAAATCAAAAATCGGACATTTTTTATAGTTATTCATTTAGCAAATTATATGAATGCTGACTGAATAGTTTCCCTTCAATAACTGGGTAATTTAAAAAAAATCAATAGTTATTTGGTTAACCACATCACCGACGGAAATAATCTGATTGTATTCAGCTCACTATATTTAACAGCAGTATTAAGTAAAAGGATTGAAGGCAAAAATGAACATTAACTTTTTTCTGAATTAAGGTCTCTGAGTAACAAAAATAAGAAAAAAACATTTTAATATAGCAGTGCTATCTTTTCAAAAGGTTTTTAGTTTAACTTTCAAGAACTTATTTGCTTCAGTTGCTTACATGTTGTAACTTTTGTAAGGCTGGGTTGCACCATCTTACTTTAACTTTGAAAAACGTCAAAAATCTGTCAAACTCCATATAAAAACACTGGTTATCGTTATAGTTACGGTCAAAGTTATGTGGTACAACTCACCCTAAGTAACGGCAAAATAAAAAACTCAATTCAGTTAACGGTAAAATTACGGCATTTAATGCGGGAAACTCGGTAAAAACACCTTAAATTGCGGCAAAATGTACTTCCAAGTGATACATCACCGCTTAACTTAAAGCCTCATAACTATCAACTACCCTCGCCGTAAATAACATTTTATTATTCACGAAAAACTAAAAGTAAAAGCCCCTTCACACGAGCCATGAATCTCTGCCGGTTTATACGGGTCCGGTAAAAACCGGCACAGGTGAATCCGATTTAAGTGAAAATTTATGGTGACGTATTATCTCGAGTGCGAACCGGAAAAGGTGCAGGGACAATAGTTTTGCACAGGACAGTGGCAGTCACAGGGTTAAGTTTAATCATTAAGGCCCGATTCGACGAAACTTTTATCCGAGAACAACTCCTGGTATTGTGGCACATTGACAGTTTCAGAATAGGAAATATGTCAAAACTGACGATTTATTCTGAGATTAATATTTACTCTAGTTTGGTCAAATCCACCCTAAATAATGATGTGCTCGTAAGTACTTCTTCTCAGCAGTGACAAATATTTATTTTGTAGCACTGGAGTAAAGACTAACTAGGATGGACTGTCCTGTTTGTGTAGGTAAGTTTTTTAATGTGTGAGTTTGTCAAATTTGAAATTAGCTAGCGTTATTTTTATGGGCTTAGTTAGCGAGACAATTATGCCCGTTTTCACCATCAATCCCTAATTTTTAAGTGACCCCTATGAAAACCAAATTCCTGTTATGTGTTACCATAGGGGTCACTTAAAAATTAGGGATTGATGGTGAAAACGAGCATTAGAATAGGTATAGCTCAAAGCAAAATCACAAAGCTGCCACTTATGATCAAAGTCTACCTTGTACTACTGAAACTAATTAAATAAGTGTAGTGTGAGTTTGAAGTACAATCAAGGTACGAACCTATAATCTGCAGTATGTGTGTCCAGATCTACCGTTAGTAGCTCCAAATTCTCGTCTTCTGATACTCTTATCCACGATACCTGAAAAGTACACTATTATTAGATTTTTGTACTTATAGAGCTGATGACCATTGGGTAGTAAAGTTCTCGATAAAAAAGGATGACGTTACGTGGGCAGGCCTCCCACTAGATGGACCCAAGAACTGGTGAAGCTTGCGGGAAGTTACGAGCAGCGCAGGACCGGTCACTGTGAAAATCCTTGGGGGAAACCTTTGTCCAGCAGTGGACGTTATTTGGCAGAAACGATGACGAAAAGTATTTACAGTTTTATCCCTTAGAGAGGTGACTCTGCAGTCAAAGATACCTGTGTCGGCTTTGAAGACAAGCTAGCTAAACATTGTAGCATTTTATTCAGTTGTGATAAAGGCGATAATAAAGAGAGCCTGATGCACTGTGTTTTCGCTTAATTTCAAATTCTTCCTATGTTCTTCTGATTAGTTTCGTTGCGGGTCCAACGACATTTAACTTTCCCCTGGTACAAACATGGCCGTCTCTGGTTGGAGTTTTATTGGCGGTAAAGCTGTAGATCCTGGCTATACAGGAGTTGCAACGGTGGGAACGAGAGGTGAGAATAGTCCCTTTTTGAGTACTTACAGTTTTATCCCTTAGGGAAGTGACTCGGCAGTCAAAGATGACCGTTGAGCCTGTGTCAGCGTTGACGAGGGTGTCATCCGATGCCTTCCCATCCTCGAACGAAGGTGGCTTGAACCTGCGAAAAATTACTTCTTGTAGTTTTGTTTCGTTGCAGTTTTGGCTCTATTTGTGAAAGGTATACTGAAAATGGAAAAGCCTGACGAATTAGTATTTTTAAGGAGAAATGGAAAGGGCACATAGTACGCAGAACTGGCGATCGATGGGGCAGCAAGGTTCTCAAGTGGGGGCCACAAACCTACCGGCCCACCTACAAGGTGGACCGACGACCTCATAAAGGTGCAGGAACGCGCTGGATGCCTCTTACAATCTGCCAATATAGGAACTATTGGGGGAGGCCTATGTTCAGCAGTAGAGCAGTCCTGTGGCTGAAAAAAAAAATGATGATGATCTCAAAATGAATGTTAAACAAATACGACTAACATAAAACCAAACCGTTTACGTTTACCTAGAAAATATTCAGCTCACAATAAATATACATCAGTTTACTCTTATTAAAAGTTTAGAAACAAAATATACCTAGTAATAATAAGTTCGAACAAATGAATATGTTAACACCCACGTTCCATACCACATAATATTATTATAGTATTTATTAGAACCAAGTTATAACAAAGACTTTATTTCTCCTTAATACAAACCCAAGAAATATAAGTATCCAAGTTATTCTTTTGTTTCCTGTAACTAAAGTTGTACAAAGATCTTCTATTATTATTTATATTACGAAAAGTGTTACTTATGTTAGTAAGTAACGAAGTTAAAGTTAATACCAATTCTAATTAAAACTTTTCGGGACATTCAAACCGACATTTCCACATACATAACCACAGTTTTAGAATTATTACGCCTTCTGTATGAAGCCTTACTTTTGCAGAACCGGCACAATTATCAGGCCAAGTACAGACAACAAAACAAGTTCTACATTGTGGTAACTTATGTCGCGGTTATTAAGGAGGTATACCTCGAAGCGCCCCTATGCTTACTAAATAAAGCTATACCTGAGAACTTTGTTCTCCTCCTATGTTCTTCTGATTAATTTGGTTGCGGGTCCAATGAAAGGCGAAGAAAATCGGCAAGACTTGGAGCGAGACGAAACGCGTAATTCAAGACCGAATGCGATGAAGGACTGTTGTGGACGCCTTTTGTAGACGCCCTCTGTCCCATCTAGGGGACATAGAACATTAACGCCCATTTTCACCATCAATCCCTATTTTTAAGTGACCCCTACATAACATAACATAACAGGAATTTTGTTTTTATAGGGAGGGGTCACTTAAACATTAGGGATATATGGTGAAAACGGGCAAAAGTCAAGTTTCAGTCAAGTCACTTGGTGCGCCTCAAAATGAGTGCGCTTCGACAAACACCTATAGGTCTTTATATAAAGTGCAATTTTGCTTGAAACATTTAGTCTGGCATAGTCGAATGTACAATATACAGAATACAGCATAATTATCAGGGTTAAACACTGTGGCTTCTATGTAGTTGTAATAGGTGTTATTTTACATCAAAAATGTATAGTCTAATAATGTTCTAGACTGTACAATATACGTGCGGTGCCAATGTTCGCGTTAACGAGTCTTGGTCGATTAATTTAATTAAAAAACTTCGAAAATAACAGCGAAAGCGTATTAAGACGTGTCAAAGACTTTTCGAAAGTTATCCAAAGTGAAGCACATTTTGGCAGAAAATAAGAACGTATTTTTATGCTACATGCCTTATTTTAGTACTTAACTTCTTTGAGAGTGTGATTTTATTTCTTTAAAACAACAATCTATGCGACATTTACACTAATGTTATAAATTCGAAAGTAATTCTCATCTTTTACTTTATCTATTCCATTTCATGCTTATACAACTAAACCACTATGGTGCCATGATTTAAATGATGGTATAGAGATAGTATAAGACTCCTTGAAAAACATAACCCTCCTTCTAGCGTAGTCGGGTAAAAACAAAGCATAGTTTTTACCGCGATTCTTGAAAGAGGACAAGTGCGCAATAAATTATTTTTGTTCCGATCGAAATTTAACAGTTTTTACAAAAATTAAATATTAGGTTCTGAAACGTGGTCGCGTCGCTTACTATGGTCCTCGTAAGAAGGCTCAAAGTCACCCAAAGGGCGATGGAGCGGGCTATGCCCTATGTAGCGTGGGCAGGCTTCCTACTAGGTGGACCGACGATCTGGTGAAGGTCGCGGGAAGAGCCTGGATGCGGGCAGCGCAGGACCTTTCATTGTGGAAAACCTTAGAGGAGGCCTTTGTCCAGCAGTGGACGTCATTCGATCGAAATTTGCTCGTGCGAAGCTCTGGACAAAAGTTTTTTAAAGGACATCTTGACATAAAAAAATATAGGGACCTCTAAAGCTACATTGAAAGATATTTCACGTTGCGAACATTCAGAATGAAACCAAAGACAAAGTGGCATACATGATCTGATATAAAGTTATGATCCTTGTCCCTTTTATAGAACTCGTTTAGAACATCGCGTACATAAGTTACGGGTTTTTGGGGTTCCTTTGTTACCGAAATATATTAGAAACTAGCGGCCGCCCGCGACTTCGTACGCGTGGACCCCGTTTTATCCTTAGGGGTGAAGTTTCGAGTTTTTTAGGGTTTACCCGGAAATTATTCAAACTTTTCTCGCTGTAAAAACCATCCTTGGACTTCAACAAACATTTTAAAAAAGAATTGGTAAAATTGGTCCAGGCGTTGTTGAGTTATGCGCTTACCAACACATTTTGCGATTCATTTTTATATTATAGATACCTACATTTTTGTCTGAAATTATTTTGAATCCTATGAAGTCCTCTTAAAGTCACAATTTGTTTAATCGCATATTGTAAATGCTAAGAGCTATATTTAATATTTTAAATTTTTCACATATTCCCAAACTATTATAGTAAGTACAGTTAAGTACTTCTGGAAGCAAGAACCTGGATGCGGGCAGCGCAGGACCGGTCATCATAGAAATCCTTGGGGAAGGCCTGCTGTGGACTTTATTTGGCTGAAACGAACGAACTTCTACCAACACTGAAAATAATTTTTGGTTACTGTTTACACAACAAAAGTGACCACCGAACACTTTGGTTATGAGGAACAAAATGTTGTGTAAATTAAACAAATAATTCGGTAGTGAGCACGACTTAGTTTGGTTATAGTTAACACTTAGTTCGGTTGTCACTTTTGTTGTGTAAGCAGTAACCAAACATTTTTTTCAGTGTAGGTTTAAATTAAATGGAACCTTCTCAAAAATGCGTATGACTTGGTAAGTGATTCGTATATAATAAGCGATTTACGGGAAAAGTTTAATTGGTTCTCTACTATTATAGCATTGACAATATTGAGAATTTTGGAATATGACCTTACACGTGCCCTAATTCCCTTATTACTTACTATACATACATAGTTAGACGCTACGAACCTTGGTAAATTTTAGTGCACATTTTTCTATATTTTAAGCTTATTTATTGTACTTCCAAACTCGCACAAGAGCGTCTGCCACAAAGCTCCGAAAGAAACAAATCTGAAAATGCCCTTAGACAATACCCAATCCCTCTCATTGTCGTTAATTTTCTACGGAACTCCGAGTCTCTCGTTTTTTCACAAAGAAAAATGTGACCCTACAGGGTGTTTTATTCAAAGTGGATCCATTTTTGTGGACGTGCCACGAGTACAAATTAACTCTCCAATATTACACTGAAACACAGTGTAAGCTGAATTAATATTATTAATTTGGTCCCTGACAGAGGTGTCTTCAAAAATGACTTTTTTAGGAAAGCGGTTTTTTGTAATGTAATAATGTAATAAACCTGGGGCCAATTCGTTTGTTTTGCGAGTTGCGACGTAATAATGCTACACAATTTCTGCTTAGTTTAATCCAGCTTTTGGATTTACAAATTAATTTAACATCGTCCTAGATACATCGTTATGCAAACTGTAAAACTTTTCAGGGAGGACAAACAGCTTCTTTAAAACGAATTATGTAAGGCACGTGATATTTTCAGAAGTTTTTCGGTCAAAATGAATTGTAATGCAGTAGACATTACCAAGTAAGTCAACACTGGAATACTATTAGAAACTTTCTGCATTAAAATCTCATTTTAAGTAAGTAGGTACCCACTAAGAGATAATAGCTATCGCTCGTTTTCACAAACATTACGTCGTCGTTCGTTACGTCACACTGTGCGTGACGTACAAGGTGACGTGACACACGAACCAATCACAAAGCCCTATTCAACACTGTACGTTCGATTTGCTGTTTCACTTAGCGAGCATCATTTGTGAATACGGGCGCATGTGTAATGTCTTGGGTCCTCGTCCACGGCGAGTAGCGAGTAGCGCGTTGGCATCACTTCTGTAGTGCGTTGCAAATGCGACTAACGCGCGTTAGTAGCGATGCTGTCGAAATAGTCACCGTGGGCGAGGGCCCTATAAAACGTATAATTTATCCTAATGTTGTATAGTTATCAATTAACAACTCACCTGCTCGTAGCACCAAAAACACATTTAATATTATATTAATACCAACAGGAAAATTTATAATAATATACTATCAAATTATAACACTACAGGTTATTAGATAGGCAGTAATAATCACTTCGGATAATTATTTTGGCCGCACCCGCTCTTGGCCCGTGAAATTAAGGCAATTTAAGGGTCTATTAACTGCCTAGTTTGGAAGCCTTTACGACTTGAAAATTAATAATTCATTGGCTTATTTAATAACCCCTCGTTAGGTTCTAGTTATGACCTGTTTAACCTTGACTTAATTACTAGTAGATAGCTATGATACTACGATAACTTTGTTTATTTTTTATGTCAGTAACGATGTTAAAAATATAACAACGACGGCCAATAATTGACCAAATTATTTGGTGCTGTGGTTACCAACTTATCTACCACGTCAGAACTCACAATGTGTGTGTAAAAATATTTATCCGATTATATTTTGGCTCTAAAATTATCTAGTGTTATGATGACGTTGTATAAAATGTCTAGGGCAATCAATTTCTCAATTTAACTTAGACTGGGTTGCACCATCTTACTTTAACATTAACAGACGTCAAAAATATGTCAAACGCCATACAAAAAATACCGGTTATCGTCAAAATAACGGTTAAAGTTAGGTGGTGCAACTGAGCCTTAGTGATGTTGAAAAACGTTAGCTGAACGTTTTTATGCGCGTCCTACAACGTTATGCACGTAACCAGGCCTGGCTCACTCCGCGCGGTACATCCGATAATTACCTACAGCGAAGCGCCCCGCCGGCGGGTATTATATCAGTCGAGTGTCACGCGCTCGCCCGTCAGGACGCTGGCTTGCGTTTTAGTATGATTATAATTCTATGATCGAAGTATTATTTAAAAATGGACATAAAGAGAGAGAAATATTGTGCGGCGTTCGGGTGTTTAAATTCGAAGAGAAATTACCGGATTTATCTTTTTTTTTCGCTTCCCAAAGATGCTGAAAGGTATGTTGGCCATGTAGGTAATCAATAATAAAATTCTTGGGATAGTATAGGATTCTTTATTTTTCTGTAATAGTATGTTTAATTTATCTGTCTTATGTTAAAATAGGTAGGTATGAATGAAGACATTGTAATAGAACAAGTTTTTTTAATCCTAATTAGGTATATTTGAAATGTTATTTTTACTTACCTACATACGTACCTCATTACAAATAAGTAGATTAATTATTTTTTCACTAGACAGCAACCCTAACAGCGTAAGAAGAGTTCAGAGGCACGCGATAGAAAGAGACAAAACTTGTAGGTGAATAAAATTGTAGGTACGTAGTGCTGTGCGAGCTGAATTCCACTGTATCGCGTCGCAGCAAGACTCGCATTTATTTAAATCGTCGTGCGGAGTAATCATTCTGTACCTGTACTATTACTTATTCTGTGACGTAACATATTAAAGTAGATCAACGTGACGATTTTATGAAGAACCCACAGTAATCTACTTCATCAGATACGGAGACTTACCTACCAATTCTATAAAATGTTCAGTCACGAATTGGTCAAAACAGTTGACTTCAGCTGTTTTGACCAATCATATCGCAGAATCGAAGAAGCGTGTCTGTATTGGAGACGTTAAAAATTAGCGTAATCGGGGCCCAGCTTAGAGCCCACGCCCACAGCGTTTATGAAACGCGCGACAGCATCGCTACTAACGCGCATTAGTCGCATTTGCACTACAGAAGTGATGCCAACGCGCTACTAACACGCTACAGCAGCGCGACTGCATCGCTACAAAAAGTCGCCGTGGGCGAGGGCCCTTAGTATCATACTGTTACCTCAACGCATCATTTGCAGTATACTCGTACAAGCATTACTTGAACATAAAGATTACCTGTTACCTTCATATCAGTTGATTAATCTCGGCCAAATGTCTTTTAGTAATGAAGTTGTGCCGTAACCGAACCAAATTATCGCGATAAGGTATTTTGATGCAACCATCAACTTTATAGTCACTAAACTCATAGAGTAAGAAGATCAGCCAGTACAGTCCAGTTTTCTGTTGCTACGTGAGTCCAAGTTTTGATTCTGTGTACATAAACGTTCATTCAAAGACAGATGCTTGGCCATAAAAGGAACGAGTGGATCAGAGAAAAGACGGGGGTTAGTGACGTGGAAGAAGTGATTGAGAGCCGTAAATAGAGATGGGCAGGGCACATTGCACAGAAAGACCCTGGAATGGAGACCCCGCAACAACACCCGCGGCAGGGGAAGACCGCCTAAACGGTGGAGAGACGACATCCGGCAACAGGCTGCAGTGAACTGGATGCGTGTGGCCAGGGACAGAAGTCGATGGAGGGTTGAAGAGGAGGCCTATGTTCGAAGGCGAACCCAAAGGCTGCTATAGATAGATAGATAGATAGTATATAAACGTTCTACACATGAAAGAGAACGTGCTAGGCCCGGTTTCCACCAAGGCGTAGGTAGCGGATCGGAGAAATGTTTTGAATAACCAATCAGATTTCATTCTGTCAATTTTATTCAATCTGAATGAAATCTAATATTCTCCGTGGGATTTGGTGGATACCTTGCCTTAGAGCGGCGTCAGCGTCAGATAGATCGAAGCGTCTAAGATAGCCAAAATGATCATTCTGATGTTCAATATTTCATATTAATGTAACCAGTCAAAGTAAGCACATTGATTGAGGCACCTATTGGGTTCACATTATTTGACTGACTGTACCTAAAATACAGATTAAAAAGTATCTAGTAGTGGTCAAAATCAAGATCCAAATGACGAAATGAGTCTTTTTTTAAGTTTAGCCACTGTTAAAAAAATAAAAACACAACTGAATGAATATTGGTTAATTTTGTTATCTGTTCACCTTGGGCTGTATTTAAGACGCCTAAAGATACCATTCAGAATTTTTACGGTTAATTTTCTTCACAGTTTAAGGGAAAAATCGTTAGCTACGAGTATAGTGGTTATAAAAGTAATGTTTGTAGTTAACGACATGGGATAAGAACAAAGAAACGGTATGAAGGAAAAAATCCAAAATTGCGCCCTTTCCTTATCTTGATTGAGGTGTTATTCGAAATAGGCGGTAACTGATATTATTACAGTAAAAGTGTATTCAGTAGGTAACTTTATACCGAAAGTCTCGTATTAACAATCTGTTTTGGTGGACCCGATGGCGTCTTGAAACCTGCTTACGGGTTGTCTCCACGGAATCCACAATAAAAGAAAGAAAGAAAAAATATTTATTTGGTACCAAAAATAGAATGATACAATTGAAATAAAGCAATACAAAAAACGATAGAAGTAAAACATCCATGTTCTATTGGTTAACTTTATCAAAATAATCACTCGACATTGGCAGAAATAAACCTCTCCCACAGAGAAGGATTAATTGCCATCAATAAAAAAAGACACCAAAGGAACAATAATACTTCCGAAACTACATAATAAACATATTTTTATATGGTGACCAATCACAATGCCAATTCGTTTACATTCTTTTCATCATCATCATCATCCCTTTACAGTCCACTGCTGGACTATGAGCCTCCTCTACTAATAGTGTGGAGGGTTTGCAATAATCCCCACGCTTGGCAGGCAGGTTGGAGATCGCAGTTTAAAAGATTGATGTTTTTCAGAGAGCGCTGCTGCCCGTTCTTTGTTTGATGTGTAGTCCCTAAGTCTAACATTCTTTTAGAGGAATCAAAAAGACGATTGTTTACCTGTTGAAGTAAACTTACTGACTCCAACTTTATTATGTAAACAGAAAAATGGTTGAAACAAGATGTTATCACGCTGCAATTAACTGCGATAAAATCGTATTACATTATAATCAAAAACACGGTATATTTAAAAGCGAGAATTTAAATAAAATATAGCCATTCATTTTAATAATAGCTCTTGATAGTATCAGAGCGGTTCAATAATGTTTGTTTTCTAAAACTTTCATCGGACCAAGTTTTAAAGGACTGGTTTATTTTAAATTAAAATGTTTTCTACAGAAAATAGCTTTTATTTTTGTTGCCTTTGCTCACTTGAATGCATAAAATTTGAAGCCCTGTGGTGTTATGGTAAAACCATAAAGTTAATATTCTTTTCGCTAGGTAGGTATATTATTATTAACTTTATGGGTATAACTTGTACAAAAATTTTATTATAGGTATATTTTTCAGCTGAGGACGGCTTCACCATACACATTTTCAGCTGAAAAAGTACCTAAACGAAGTTTAGCAGGCCGAGAGTTTCTGAAAACCATCAGTGGGGACAAAATAATTGTCATGGAAATTCATTCTGTGTTTGGGCGAGTCAGTATTGTTCCAAAAGATGCCAAGAGATATTTGCCTACTTGTCGTGAAAATTCTTGTTCCTTGATGCGTACGAGTCGAATATTACGCTCATGGTTAAGTGAGCAAGTCGGCTTTCCAAGGTCTTGGGCTTCGGGACTTCCCCGTAGCGAGCCGAGGGTTCCGAAAAAGCCGTCAATGAGGGCGCCATAGTCATGAAGACGCTTGTTTCAATGCTTTCATGATGATTGTAAGAAAATAACACTGGTGGTCAAAAAACAAACCGTTTCTTACTTGTCCTGAAAATTCTGGTTTCTTGTTGCGTAATAGTCGAATTTCATTAAATTGGGCCTGTCTAAAACTTCTAGGGAAGTCACGGAAATGGTATGTTAGTAGAAAAGCATTTTTGTACATACTTGTCATGAAAATGCTTGTTGCTCGTCGCGTACGAGTCGAATATGTAGTTCAGCATGGGCGAGTCAGCCTTCCCGGGCCTCGGTCGCCGGGGCTTCCCCGTGACAGGCCGAGGGTTGCGGAACACCGTCGGTGGGGGCGCCATGGTGGTGGAGATGCTTGGTTCAGTGCTTGGAACTGTGGAGCAAGAATTTAGGCTTTAAATTCGGCTAATGGAGTGACGGGCTGGAAGACGTAGCGTGGGCAGGCCTCCTACTAGGTGGATTGACGATCTGGTAAAGGTCGCGGGAAGAGCTTGGATGCGGTAAGCGCAAGAGCGTTCATTGTGGAAAATCTTGGGGAAGCCTTTGTCCAGCAGTGTACGTCATTTGGCTGAAACGAACGAAGTCAGTGTCAACTTTTAGAGAAACAAGATCAAATAATAATTTAGCAAATGAGCTCATCTAATGCGAATATACTACGGCGTGATAATATTACCGTGCAGGAACTGAACCCGTACATCAATGAGCTGGAGCTTTTTGTGCGTTGTAAATGATAATAGAGATCATGACAATAACGATGATAATGGTGATGATGATGATGATGAAGAAACTAGATTTTCACCTATGGCGCTGGTCTGTGGCGAGACAGCCTTGGCAAGCACCGCCATTAGTAGCACGATGCGGTGCATGCCGCCGCATCCTACCCGCTGAGCAGGTTATCTGGAACAAAGAAAAACATTATTAGATTTTTTTCATCATCTTCATCATCATCATTTCAGTCATAGGACGTCCACTGCTGAACATAGGCCTCCCCCAATGTTTTCCATGTAGATCGATTTAGATTTTTCACCTATTTGTGAAAACTTTTTTATAGGCTTTTAAAAAGCACTTAGTACACGTTCCAGTATTAACCCTACCACCGCTTCAGAACAATAAATGGGCCAGTGCTGAGAACAAGCAGCGCGAGAAACTCAGTGTGTATTTTGTGTTTCATCAGAGGTAAGATAGCCAGTTCCTCTGTGGTTAAGGATTCCGGGTGAAACTCGTTTCGACCTTTGGCCTGATTATCACTTTTTATCCTCTGAGATGCAGGAGCTATCAATATAATACCAAACCTAAAGAAACTACAAGCAAATAAAAACGAAATTTTGGAAACTTCTTGACCTTTTTAGTCTTACCAAACTGTCAGAAAAATAAACCAAAAATACTTTAATGTAAGCAGTCAAGTACTCTGCTGTCAGAAGTTTCATTATTTAAATAAGTGCTTTATAAAATAATAACAAAGATACCTTTATTGCGTCTTGAAAGGTCAATCAAAGTAAGATCTTAAAGTCATTAACGTCAAAAATAAACCCATTTCAACAAAACTTAGATATTGTTTACAAATTATTTAGAAGCTGCAGATTCAATATTTTGATCTCAATGAACGCTAAAATTATTTGGTAATTCTTCAAAGAAGAGATCTTGAATAACTTTATCAAAGGAAGTATTTAGAGATCAGAAAACATTGTTTGATGGGTTGATTTCTAACGAATTATTAATACTTTTGGAAATTACTTAAACAATTTTCTTCTTCCTTGAAGAAAGAATTTGGAAACTTAGTAAATCTTTGGCGAACCCTTTGTTTCCACTACTTATCAGTAGGAATATCTGCCAGATAGCCACATTATGGACGCTAATTAACTCCCTCATCTGACTGAAAACTAGGTACTTACCATACCAGTTGTAGTAGTACCACTAACTTAGTAGTATAGTAAGCAGTAGTAACTAGCAACAAATTATCAGAAAAAATTTTACCAACATGAATGTGCTTGCTTTTCTGAGCATAATCTTCCCAAAACGGGACTCTTTGAAATTGCCATTCTCCAAATTTTATTTTCAATCGCCTTACGACGCCCTTGGGATACTGCTTTGATCTTCTAGCAATGGAGTTAAAATAATTGTAAAAAAAATATTGTGATGTATTATTATTATAAACCGAAAACTAACACGACCGAAGCTATCAACTCATTTTTTTATTCAAAATAGGAGAAATTTACCTTCTAGAGTTTTATTACACGATTATAATCGTTATAATAGATGGAACCTTCGTAGACCGTTCTAGGAATATTCATGGTGTAATTAGTAATGCTAATATTGCCTATATTTTTCTAGGTAGTCTGATTTAGTTAATTTAGGGGAAAGTGTTGGTGCTAGGAGTTACCATAGCCATGACACACATGGATTAAGAATTATACTAATTCTCTTTTATTAGGTCAAATAATATTAAATAATTATGTATTTATACCAACCAAAAAATCTGTTGAAAATACACGGGGAAAATAATATTGAAGCAGTACAGGGCAGATATTATGTACCATTGTAGACTGCATCCCACTTAACATCAGGTGCGATAGTGGTCAAATACCTGCCTTGTTATGCATAAAAAGAATTAGACCAGATTTTGGAAAATTTGAAAAAAAAAAAAAACGTAAAAGATACAGCTAAATCAAGATCAAATCATGGTCAAAAGAATTTGTATTCTCAAAATGACATTACACACCCTACGAGTTTGTGTAAACCAATTACAAACACCCTGTTCGTTCCTTTGTTCCTTTGTTTCAGCCGAAAGACGTCCACTGCTGGACAAAGGCCTCCCCCAAGGATTTCCACAAAGACCGGTTCTGCGCCGCTCGCATCCAAGCACCTCCCGCGACCTTCACCAGATCGTCGGTCCACCTAGTGGGAGGCCTGCCCACGCTACGTCTTCCGGCCCGTGGTCACTACTCAAGAACTTTCCTGCCCCAGCGGCTATTTAGCTCTATGAGCTATGTGCCCCGCCACCCTGTGTAATCTTTACTATTCCATCAGACACTGTATAATTTTCCATTTTATTCGACTCCTGAAGACAATTTACACAGACAGACCCGTGTGAAAAACCAGTATCTACTACCTATATTGGATTTTAGCACCACTAGCACGTAGCAAAAATTGAAGCAAAAGGTACAATATAAGGCAAACGACTGTGTCGACATTTAATTTGCCTTACATGCGGCAAAACTGTACCCATTGTACATTCCACACAGTTCTTGTAATCAATGTTTCACTTTGAACTGCTAGTTAACATCTAACGAGGGACCTGAAAGGGAAATTTACGATAGAAAAAGAAATTTAGGTAGGTATATTGGCATGTGTTTTTTGAAGACTTTGCTCAGCCTGAGTTGCACCACCTTATTTTTTTTAGTGCTTTTTGTATGGAATTAGACAGATTTTTGACGTTTGTCAAAATTAAAGTAAGATGGTGCAACTCAGCCTAAGATGAAATTTAATAGAAACAATCCACAAAATTGAATAATTTGCTAAAATGAGAGAGAGAGAGTAAAATAAAATGTTCTTCTAAAACAAAGGTCAATTTTGTTTTTACCTCAGTCAAAATTATTAATATTTTGATCACTGATTTAAAATCGTAAAGGAATTTGTATACGATTATGTAATTTCGTGAGCCATTTGGGACTCAAAGCTTCGAAAATTCGTATTGTAAAGTTGTCTTTGAAATTAAAGTACACAATTTTGTTTGCTACTGGTTGTAAAATCATCAGAAATATGACGCTACTAAAATAAAATGTAAACAAATTAAATGTTTCAAAGATACGCATCGCCGAGTTAAATTCGTTTGTTGGGTCTATATTAACCCTTAGAGCGTTCGCTTTCGTTGAAATTGCGAATTTAGGCTCTGCCCCTTCACGGAGTTAATGAAAGGTTAAACTTTACGAGCGGTGCGGTGGCGTTTGACAAAATTCACTTGGGTCCTAACCAGGTTCATGAAACTTAGTTGGCTAGAGTGAGTCTTAAGGATAGTGGAGAAGGCAATATATCGCACGTAGTTTCAAGTTTGAAGACGATAATCAAAAGCTTCGCAACTTAAGTATAAACTGTTATCATCATTTTTTATTTCTTTCGCTAGTTCTAAACAGCGAAAATAAATGAGAAAATTGATTAAAAACACTTGGGTAAAAAATTACTGCCATAGGTAAACTGCGATCTTTCTACTGCGAAGCGTTTGGTCTTGATTTATGATGATTGAGATAAGGTAACCTAATCTTTGTAACTACTGGAAATTATTTTCTGCAAAAAAATGAGATATTGATCTAGCTAGATTTTTCATAGAAAAAAAAACTGCCTGTTGCAGAACCAAACTCTGAATCTTTCATATTTAGGCTGAGTTGCACCACCTAACTTTGACCGTAACTATAAAGATAACCGATGCTTTTTGTATGGAGTTTGACAGACTTTTGACGTTTGTTAAAGTTAAAGTAAGATGGTGCGACCCAGCCTTAGAGTAATATTCATTGCTCGTTCCTTTTATAAGGAACTGGCAAAGAGGCTCACCGAAGTAACTGGTGATCAAAAGGCTGGCAGTTATTTCGGTCAAAGAATAAGCCTGGCCATACAACGTGGCAATGTTGCCAGCCTTTTATTTATTAATTTATTTATTTTGGGTACCATTTCCGACTGCGGCGCTGGGGTTGACATTTTTTTTGTAAAATTTTGTAATAACACATATTAAGTATTTATTATTAGCAATTTTTAAAGGCATGTATTTAAATGATCTTTTTAAATTAGCAAAAACGGCAAATAAAAAAATCTATTTGGTCGTCTATTTTAATGATTGATCCTCTTTCTTTGAGACATAAAATAAATAAAATCGATCGATATTTTAACCTCTTTTGAACTACGCAAAAAAAAATTGAGATGTAAAAATTATATCTGATCGTTACTTGTTGGTCCTCAAAAATAAAAGAAATGAGCACCAAATATTCAATATTGTGATACTTTTTTAAATAATTCGATCTGTATAAAATAATTTTTGTATATATCAAATAATCTTCAAAATAATTATGTTATGGTACTTATTTTTATTAAGTTGTAGTCAAAGGATGGAAACTATTTAAAGGCATGTCTAATCGACCCGTTGACAGATGACTTTATGGTCACTGATCACGGTCGAGATCGGTACCTATACTAAGAGAAAATCAACCTTGCGATTTGAAAAAAATAAAGAGGTAAAAATTATGATGTCGGGTTCAGGGATGTCAGAAGTAAGAAATTATTTTACATAGCGCCTCTAGTCCCAAACTAAGCAAAGCTTGTAATTTAAACAAACAGGGCAATGTACTATTCTGCTTGCTTATTGGCCGCTAAGCCCTTGGCCAACTCAGTAACCAATGACGGACGATTGTTACTCAACCACAAAGTACCGCGTAAATTAAAAGATATTTTTTAATTAAAAATATTAACCAATAATATTTTTTGTTAGATCAAATATATTTTAAAGTTAAGTTATACATAGATCGAAATGTATTTATTAGGTGATCAATAATAAAAGGCAAACTTGATATAAAAATCATCAAATTAACAAAATTAAAGATCAATAACTAAAAAAGAGGATCAAATATTATTTTTGTTTACCAAATATTAAAAGAGTATACTAAACATAAATATTATGTTACCTTTAATGAAGATCATTCATAATTTATCCGTAGATCAACTAATATAGACTCAATAATTAATATAAAGATAAAATATAATAAAAAACATCATTTATTTTTAAAAGTGCACATACAAAAAAGATCAATTAGTTTTTAGAGGATCAAATAATATTGTCCCATTTTTAAAGTTTAGATTTTAAATAATTTTGAGTTTTTTATAAGTAAATATGTTATAAAAATGTTTATTGCTTA